GGCAATTTCTGCATTGTGTTTAATTTCCTTTCTAATTTCTAGGAGAGTTCTGTTTATTAATCTTTTGTATTCTGCCTCTGGTAATTCCAAGAAATTCTCTTCCTCCAGAGAATTTATTGATTCTTTATTTTGGAAGCTTGCTGAAGCCATCATGGACTGCCTCTTTCTGTGATTTGATACTGACTGTTGTCTCCGAGCCATCAATAAGTTATTATAATTTTATTTTATATTTGTTTAGTGAGTCCTAGCTTCTTGTTTTGTTTAGTTTTGATATGCCCCAATAGGAAGTTTGTGTGTGCTAGTTTGATTATTGATACCTTTGAAGCTCTAACGTCCTGTCACCTGGTAGTTAGTTCTGTAACTAAGTATGTGCCCACAGGAGTCCATTAAATTTTCCTATATGGGTTCAGTTCAGGTGACTAGGCGGTCAGTCACCAAGTGTGTGGTGCAGGCTCTCACCTACAGTCCTAGAGAGGCATGGGTGATTGGTGCAGGCACTGGACCCTGGCTGTGGTAGGGGATCATGTGCTGAGCCAGGCAGGGGACTCACGGCTGCCCCTGAGAGTCCGAAAGGAAAGCATGTCCCTATTCTCTAGGGTGAGTTGGTAGGTGAGTTTTGCAGCTGGACTATGAGCACCCCACTCTGTTGGCTGTAAAGACTCGAGGGCACCACTTTTTCTTGGACTCCTGTAGCAGGTGACTAGGAGGTTTACGTGATGTCACCAGTCCTCAAGCCCCTGTTGTGGATCGATTTAAGTGCCTACTTAAGGGGCAGGGCTGTTTTGAGTGTCGCAAATCTGCCACTTCACAGCTGAAACAGTTGAAGTTAAACTTCATATGTTTACCCTGTTGTACTGTGGTAGTGAGGGCTAACCCTGTTGAGATGGGTCCCACAAGTCTTTACAGGGGCATAAGTCTGCGGACCCCTTATACCTGTGCCTAGCAAAGGAGTTGTGCCAACCCTGTGTTCCTGGGTTAGGGGAGCCAGTAGCTTATTTGTTCCCTCTTCAAGGCCAGGAGAATGGGTCAGGGCGCCTTTGGGGATCTACTTCTGGCCCAGTAGACTCCCAGTACAGAGCGCGGAGGGAGGCAGTAAAAGGGAGAGAGGTTTTTCCCAAATGGGCTTTTTTTTTTCTTTTAAATCCCTGCGAAAGGCCACATGTATGTACTCACCTTTAGCCACTTGGGAGCTGCTTTTCATTGGTTCGGAATGTCCAAGCAGAATCTCTGCTGCCGGATATCTCTCGATGTGGAAACTGCTTTCCCAGTGTGTGCACAGCTGTTTGCCTGCTTCACTGCGGACCCAGCATGCCTGAGGAGTTGCCCTCCCATCCCCGCTGCTCTGGTGCTGCTGGCTTCTTCCAAACCGTCTCCCTTTCCCCCGGCCACTCAGTCTGATTCCTCAACTTTGCCTTGTACAGGGCTCCTAGATATTCATAATCAAATCACTTGTTTCTCCAGGTCTTTGTTGTAAGAGGGATATAGGAAGTGCTTTACTACGCTGCCATCTTGGCTCCGCCTCCTGGTAAATTATATTTTTTGAGGAATTTTTTTCAATTTCGTCCAAACTATCAAACTTATTGGTGTAAAGTGTTGTTTGATTTTGGTAAATGTTCCATGTAAGTTTAAAAACAATGTGGTTGTTTATGTGCTGTGCCCTATATATCAGTTAAGTCAAGTTGGTTAATTATGTTAAGATCTTCTATATCTTTAATGATTTGTTTGCTTACTTGTTGTATCAAATATTGAGAAAGGAGTATGAATTTCTCCTATTATAATGCTGGAATTTTTCCTTTTAGCCCTGTCAAATTTTGATTTACATAGTTTGAAGCTATATTATTGGTTGCTTACCAATATAGTATGGTGATCTCTTGGGTTGACTCTTATTATGTAAAATATCCCTTCAATTATAGTATTATTTCTCACCTTAAAGTCTACTTTAAATATAGTTACTGTAAGTATATTTATATCATGTTTCTTTTAGTGAATGTTTGTATGATGTATTATTTTTCATCAATTTTATTTTCAATTTTTCTGTGACCTTGTATTTAAAATGTGTTTCTTTTAAGTAAAATGTAGGCAAGTTTTTCTATTTATCCAGTCTGATAACCTTCTGTAACGTAGTATTTCACAAATGTTGTCTTGACCCAGTGTTGAAGCCCTGGCTAAAGGCCAGTCAGTTACCCTTCTTAAGAAGCTGATTAAGTCCACATTCAAGTCACTTTCTTTATCTGGCTCTTACATTCCAGGGTCACTATGCACTTGCCTTAATCACCCCAGGGCCAGATACCAAACAACTAGGGGTAGCCTCTATGCTGCAGAGCCTGTGGAATTATTCAAAATACCCATCTCCAGGAGGCCCGTGAAACCCAGGTAACCCCACTTTGCTTGCCATACATACGCTGTCTTCTATAACTCCAGCTTGCTGTTACCCTGTCCCTGGGTACAACCGCCTGTATGGCCCCTTCTCTCATTTGGAGCTCATGTAGAGTTCATTTGAGCATCTTTGTGTTGTGCTCTGCCATTCAAGGAAATTATAGTCAAAACGAATATCATATGATTATAAATCACCTTCATGTTTTATTTGGGGTGCTTAGTCTCCTTACATTTAATGTGATTACTGATATATTTGGGTTTATATCTACCATCTTATTATTTATTTCTATTTGGACTATCTGTTTTACATTCGTTTATACTTCTTTCTTGCTTTCCTTGAGAAATTTTTGTTATTCCATTTTCCTTTCCTAACAAGCATTAACTTGTTAGTTATATATTCTCTTGTTACACTTTTAGTGGTTTCCACAGAGATCAATAGTATGCGTGCTTGACTTGTTACAGTCTAACATAAATTATTATTGTTACCATTTTGTCAATACTTCTAGACTTCCAGTTGCTATCAAGTTGATTCTGACTCATAGTGACCCCATGTGTGTCAGAGTAGAACTGTGCTCCATAGGGTTTTCAATGGCTGCTTTTTCATAAGTGGATAACCAGTCCTTCCTTCTGAGGTGCCTCCAGGAGGACTCAAACCTCCAACATTTCGGTTAGCAGCTGAGTACCTTAACCATTTACACCACCCAGGGACTCTGGAACCTTAGAATCCTTAAATTTCATTTTTCTTCTACCTTTTGTATTATTGCTAGATTGCATTTTAGTTTTACATAAATTTTAAGCTCTGACATTACAAGTATTTTTGTAGTCAATATTCTTTTATAATTACATATGTATTTACCCCTTCTATAGTTATTCTTTCCCTGCAATATGTTTCCCTCTGGGGTCATTTTCTTTCATCTAGGGGGACTGCCTTTAGTTTTTCTTTTAGTGCAGGACTGCTGGAGATCATTTCCTTTGGTTTTTGTTTTCCTAGAGAAGTCCTTATTTTACTTTTATTTTGGAGGATATTTTCATTAAGCATAGAATTCTAGGTTGGCATTTATTTTCTTTTAACACTTTAGAAATATGATTCCATTATTCTATGGCTTCCATCACTTATGTTGAGAAGTCAATTGTCAGCCTTATTGTTGTTCCTTTAAAAGCAATGTGTCTTTCTTTGGCTGCTTTGAGTACTTTCTCTTTGACTTTGTCCTTCAAAATTTTTACTATGATGTGCCTATATGTGGTTTTCATTATATTTATGTTTATTGGGCTCTTTGGAGCTTCTTGAATCTGTGGGATAATATTTTTCATTAGGTTTGGAAATTCTCAGCTGTTATCTCTTCAAACATAACTCTGTTATCTCATCTCTCATCTCTCCTTATGTGACTCCAATAATGTTTATGAGCAAGTCTCACATGTCTTTTACACTACCAGCTTTTTTTTTTTTTTTCTGGTCTTTTTTCTCTGTGGGCTTTAGTTTGGGTATTGAGGGGGGGTATATTTTGAATTGCCTTGTCTTTCAGTTCACTCATCTTATGCTCTGATGTGTCCAAACTGCTATTAAACCTATCACTGAATTTTTATTTCCAGATTTGTATATTTTAGTTTGCATATGTCCATTTCATTTTTATAGGTTCAAATTCTCTGTTGAAATTCTCCATCTTTTTATTTGTTTGTATACATCTTTTTCCTCTATTTTCTTTAAAATATTAATCAGAGCTGTTTTAAAATTCTTGTGCCCTAAATGTCTGGATAATCTGCTATAGGTATGCTTCTAAAGTCTGTTCTTTCTCTTGATTCCCTGTTTTGTTTTTGTTTTTTGCTTGTTTTAATGCATACATAATATATAAAAGAAACAGAGAGGCCTCAGATTATGCTATCTTTCACCAGAGAGGGTTCCCTCATTGTTTTATTAAGCAGAGGATGAGAGGCTGATTACTTCAGTGCAATCAGAGATTATGCTTGGTTAGGTTGGGTTGTCATTTAAATAAAACTTACTCTACCTCTGCTTCACCCTGTTCCTTGGGTGTAGCCCTCATGGGCCTTTTATTAAGAGACTGTCAGGCATCTATCTTCTCAGATCTGAAAGACTACAGGAGATCTAGCTCTTCCTTTCATAGTTTCTTAGCACAGCTCTCCAGTCTCTCATTCTACACAGCTTCAAAATCTGGCAAATTAGGGAGAGGCCACTATGGGTGGTCTCTTTCACAGCACTACAGGACTGTGAAAATTTCTGCTTTGCTTTTAAAAGATGACAATCTGGCTCACCAGCCTTCCATGTATTCCTGGAGCTTAGCAAATGCCCTATTGGGAAAATCACCTATGTGTTTCAGACTTCCTCACATTCACAATTTACCCTCTAGCCTTGCACAATCAGTAAAATCTTTGCCATCTCCCACCTCTCTCTTGCCTGGTCCGGACTCAATATTCAGCTTATGTCTAGAATCAGCAAATGCCCCCAGGAGGGAAAATGGCTAGTAACTGTCATTTCACCTTAGAAGAGTTCTGCCTCTCTGGAATTTTAGGTCATGTTGTCTACATGTTTCCACATGTTTGCACATCTCTATGCCGTCTTTAAAAGTAAGACTTTTGTAATTTTCTGGCTTTTTTTATTTGTTGCAGCAGGAACATTGACCTGCTGAAAACTGTTACATCCTACTTGGAAGTGGAAGACCTATGCTTTGTGATATCATCACTTGTGCAAAGAATCTTTTAAATCAACTTATTTTTAAAATGTGTTTTGGATCCATTTTTATTCTGTACCAGGCATGAAGGAAATTAATAAGGCCTCTAATTTTGCAACATTTAAATTTAGCAAAAGAATCTTAAGTAGATACAACTTATTTGACAGATTTTTTTCTCATAAATAATCTGAATAGAGTTAATGATATAGAATCTGAAAATATTTCAACTAAAATGTTTTCATATGAAAATTTAGAATTCAGAACATCTTCCATTTAACAGAATTTTCCCTGAGCTTTCCAGGGACCTCAGCACCTATAGAGAGATTAGTTTCACAACTAAAAACATTACGTTCTGTAGAGAAGAGCCATTTGAAAGCACCAATTATTTTAAAAAAAACCTTAATAACTCACATTTGAAGAAGTTTATAGGTAATTTTATCACAATTAATTTAAAATAATAAGATCAATGTTATTTAAAAATACCTTCTTATTAAAAATTCTAGTGACCTAATATTAGAGACAGATACAGCTGAAAAACTAATGAAATTCTGTGCCTGTGTATCAGGAATAATTATTTTACTTATGTTATTTTTGATGTTCAGATTATCAATAATATCAATATAGTTTAACATAGAAGTAGTAATAAAGGAACTTTTTATTTTATCTTGGTAAGCACAGATATAAGTTCTATTTATTTATAGAAATAATTTTCTTTCTAAAAATATTTTAATAAAACTATTCTACAGGCTCACCACTATAATAAAAGTCAAGTTGTGACCCAATAAATTAATATTTAAAAAAATCAAAGGATATTAATTAGTTTACTGAGCCTCTAAATCTCAAAAGTCTTCTGGTTTGAATGTTAAGTTATATGTTTACCCTAGCAAGAGGAGAACAGAGAATTTACCAGTAGAGTTCACAACATGGAGATAGTTGATGAAGTTGCAGGAGGCGTCTTAACAGTTAGTGGCAACAGGAGCTGTACTGAAGAGAGATAAAATCACAAAATGAGGTTAAGCAAGTAGAGACAGTACCAATATATTTCTTTTTCAATAAGATTTGCTTTGAATGGGAGCAAAGATACGAAGTTAGGGGACTATATTTTTTAGGTTAGGTTATATAAAGCATATTTGTTTGTTGCTGAGAGTAGTCCATTAATGAGGTAGAAATTGGTGATCCAGGGTGGAGAGAGGGAAAGGAGTGGGGCACAAAGAACAAGGGAAAGATTGGCTTTTCTCTACGACTAATCGTATTATCCCTTTTGGTAGACCCATTTGCTTTTCCTCTTCTTTATTCTGCTATGGAGCCCTGGTGGCACAGTGGTTAAGAGCTATGGCTGCTAACCATAAAGGTAGGCAGTTCAAATCCACCAGCCATTCCTTGGAAACCCTATGGGGCAGTTCTACCCTGTCCTGAAGGGTGGCTATGAGTTGGAATTGACTCAACAGCAACGGGATTTTATTTTGCTTTATTCTCATATTCTTCTTTTTTTTTTTTTTTAATCTTTTTTGTAAGCCACCTTCAGTCCTTTTTGGAAAATATAGGAAAGAAAAAGAGGAAGAGAATGGAGGAAAGAGGAAGGAAAAAACATGGTTTTTATTTAAAACCTGAACCTGTCCCTATGCACTGAATATATGGACTGTTGTTAGCTGTCATCGAGTCAGCCCCAAGATGCCAATAATTGACTCTGAGCAAATAACCCAAAGACTGTGTGTGCATGCGTGTGTATGTGTATGTGTATGTGTGTGTGTGTCTGTAGGGTGTTCCCGTTCTCTTCATGATTTTTATGAGCCCCAGCTGATGTTTCGTGCTCTTTCTGATCAACAGTTAAATACAAGCCTCTTTGTTTTTCATGACCCCAAAATACGTTTCCACGTGTTAACATCAAAAGTGATTAGCTCCATTCAGTGCAGCTTTCATGCTGAAAATATCAAAGCTGGTGCAGAATTTACCCCTTCCCTCACTGATATTTATCATTGTAGGCTACCCACATGCTGCTGCTCATGACGTTTTTAAGCCAGGTGGAAAAACAAAATCTCTTAGATAAACAGCCACTAAATTCATGGCCCTGCACACTAGGTACCTGAGAGAATTTCATAATAAAGAAACACAGAGTTTAAAAATTTTTGTTTTTGGGACATGCAAGATCCAACCTAACAATGCAGAAATTCCCACTATATCATCCATGTTAGACGTCTATCCAAGTCTTGGACTGAAGTCCTCTGTCCACTGTAGGATGACTACAGTTGTTGTGGGGTGGCAGGGGGTGGGGGGTTCCTTATGTCGAACTGAAGTCAGCGTCCCTGAAGCAACATCCATAGTGACTATGGTCTGCATTATGGAGACACTTTGACTCCATCTTTCAAATGACAGCATTTCAAATACCTAATCAGGATCATCGCACTAACCCATCCACTGCCTTCATCCCAACACCCTCACCAGATTTTCTCTTATCCAGGCTACCCATTACCCATTGATTCCAACTCATAGTGACCCTATAGGACAGAGTAGAACTGCTCCATAGGGTTTCCAAGGAGCGGCTGGTGGATTCGAACTGCTGACCTTTTGGTTAGCAACTGTAGCGTGCCATAGCTCTTAGCCACTGTGCCACCAGAGCCCCTTATCCAAGCTAGTCAGCTCCAGTTCCTTCAACTGTGTCTCATGTGAAAGTGTTTAACATAGTTCTTGAAACAAACTTGGCTCTCAATAAAAGATAACTTTGTCTTTCTTATTGTTATCAATGCCCAATATTTTACCATCTGTTGCCCTCTATTGGACATTTTTCCAGATCATTAATGTTGTTCAAAATGGTATTTTGTCATTAGTTAGTGGTAATTAATATTAAGAACTAGCATTTATTGAAAGCTTACCATGTGCCAAGCACTTTGCTAAGTGGTTACAGGCATTCTCACTTAACCCTCAAAACAAACTTAAGGTATTATATGGCTATCTTTATCTTACAGCTGGAAACCGTGGTGGTGTAGTGGTTAAGAGTTAGGCTGGTAACCATAAAGGTCAGCAGTTCGAAACCACCAGCCACTCCTTGGAAACCCTATGATGCAGTTATACTCTGCCCTATAGGGTCGCTATGAGTGCGATTCGATAGCAATGGGGTATTTTACAGATGAGGAAACCAAGACTTAGAGAAGTTAAGAAGCCTGATCAAGGTGATACGGCTACTGGGGCAGGGGGGGAGTAATCCTCCAGTTTTCTCCCATGCTTTCCTCTACTTGCATCACATTGCCATCGGTTCTCATATAAGTTGTGGTTTTTATGAATGCTTTCCTTTTTCTCTTTCCTTCTTATAGTTTTATTGTAAAGCTCAAAGCTGTGACCACAGAGGTTCATCCATTTGCAGTCTTATTTGGTTTGCTTCATTGCTTACTCAGAACCTAATTTTTGCTTAACACTATTTTAAAAATTACTTTTCTCTTTTAATTATCTGCAGAATTAAAAATGTTTAATTCTATATTGAATTCCTTTCTTATTCCAGCCCATCTTCATTCAGCTTTCATGACACCACCCCTCCTGTTTTCTCCCAACCATTTAACAATTTCTTATCAGTTTCCTTTTCTTCCACCATAGTTGTTTCCCAGTTTTTGTCTTTATGTTCTTTCTTTCTTTTTTTTTTTAATCTACACTTTCCCTAGCATAGAGAACACTCCTGCATGGAATTACAGATGATCATAAATCAAGAATCGGGTTGGTACCAACTTACCCTAGAATGTATATTATAAATGTTATAAATACAAGCTGTTAAATGTAATATTCAAGGTAACCAAAAGAAAATATAGTTTTAAAAAATGCATAAAAGGAAAGGAGAAGGGAACTCACTACAACAAACCAACAAAACACAAAAGCAATCAGTAGTAAAGGTCAAAGACAATGAAGGCTTAAGAGATAAAAAAAAACAACAAAATGGCAGAAATAAGTCACTTCTTATAGATAATTACAGTGAATGTAAATGGACTGTGGTGGATTAATTACTTTTGAGTGTAGTCTTTATAACCATGGTCTTTGTAACTCCCACCCAGGTGATTGTGTGATAGGGTAATTATGGCCTACCAAGGGGATTGGCTGGTTTTACCTTAAAAGAGAGCCAATTCCGGAGCAGAGAAGGGGAACCCACCTCCAACAAGAAAGGCGAAATCAGCTAGGAGATGGCGTGGTGGGCTTCTTGGCCCATGGAGAGAGAAGGCGGAGTGCCTTTGGGCAGAGACTGAGGGCCAGGGAGAGGTGTGCCTGCAAGCATGGCTGGGGAGAGGCTATCCTGATGGAAGAACTGTATCCTGAGTGTTCTTGAGCCTGAATTGTAACTGTTACTTCTTTAATAAACCCCATAATTGTGAGTATGGTCTGTGAGTTCTGTGTGGCCATTGCAATGAATTATTGAACCTAGTAGAGAGTGCTGTAGGATGGACAGTTGGGGTCAGATTCAATAAAGATGGCACAGAGAGGAGGCATGTCTGACCTCTGCCTCATGGGAATCAGCCTTGGGCTGTTGATCTTGGTTCTCCTTTCCCCTAGTGAAGTAAGAGGGGGTCAGACACTGCCCTCAAGCTATTTTTACATGGACTAAATGCACCAATCAAAAGGCAGTGGAAAAAAGTTTGGCCTTGAACATTATGCTCTTATAAGAATTATCTATATGAGATCAAATTGACAGCAGCAACTAAAATGTAACCTAATCTTGTAGATTGAGTCCTGCCTTATTAACATAACTGCTGTAATCCCACCTCATCAACATCATAGAGACAGGATTTATAGCACATAGGAAAATCACATCAGATGACAAAATGGTGGACAATCACACAATACTGGGAATCATGGCCTAGCCAAGTTGACAGATATTTTGGGCGGACACAATTCAATGCATTATAGTAATCAATGTCACTAAATTGCACATATAGAAACTGTCAAGTTGGTATGTTTTGCTGTGTATATTCTCAATAACAACAACAAAATAAATAAAATTTAGGAAAAAAAATAGCTAATAGAGCCAAAGATTTTTGATAAATGTTAAATATACTCCTCAAAATCAGAAGATGTTTATCTCAGCAGCAGATTATTCTGTTTGGCTAATTTCAGTACTGTTCTTATATGCATAGATGAGATTAAACAGAAAAATGGTATAAATAATGCTTTTTACTTATTAATTATGATAGTCATTCCTCTGAATTTAATTCAGGAAAATAACCCGGCAGGAGGAGGGGGGAGGGAGCAAAGTTTCATGAAAAATAATAAACCATAAGAGAGCCTAAATTTTGTGTACCTAGTGGGTGCTACTTCTGTTGAAATACAATAAACATTAAAAAAGAAAAAAAAATCAGGTACAACTAGAGGCAAAGAAAGGACTCCTAGAAATTAAAGCATAATTACCAAAATTTAAAACTCAGGCAAAAGGCTGAAAAGTAGTATGGTATGCCTTCTAAACATGGCTGAAAACTCATGTTTGGAATGCATTCCATAGGATGTGTATAAGAAATTCTACCAGAAAGCAAAACAAAAAGACAAAGAGAAAAATTGAGGGATGAAGTTTTTGCAATATGGAAGATAGCTTCACATATTTTGATAGGAATTTTAGAAAGACCAAATAGAGAGGCTAGAAAAGAAGCAATAATCAAGGAAATAGGAGAAAATTTCCTTCGCTAAAGAAGGCTTGAACCATCAGATTGAAAATACAACCAGATGCTGGGCAGGAATATGTAAAGAAAACACACCTGGACACATCCTGGTGAAATCTAGAACTCTAAGGATGAAGAATAAACTCTAAATGTTTCCAGACAGAGAAATTAAAGAACAAGAACCAAACTGGCATACAATTTCTTGTTTGCAAATCCAAATGCTAGAAAAAACATGGAGCTCATATCTAGCTAAGTTCCTACTTACATAAGAGTAAAATGAAGATATTTGTAGCTATTTATGGACTTAGAATGTATACTATACAAGTACACATAAAAATTTACTCAAGGGTATTCTCCAACAAAATAAAAAATAAATTAATGTTTTCCAAAACAAGGAGGAAGTTATAGAACTCAAGATAAATTGATGAGTGTCATAGGCTGGGTTCTCTAGAGAAACAAAACCATAAAGCACGTAAATATGTATACACAGAGATTTATATCAAGGAAATGGCTCATGCGGTTGTAGAGGCTGGAATGTCCCAAGTCCGTAGATCAGGGTGGAGGCTGATTCACGTACCTGCAGGGGCTGGCAACCCCAAGATTGGTAGGTGGTAGAGCAGGGCTCTTGCTCACAGGCTGTGAAGTTCGATGAATCCCAAGACGGACAGCCAAGACCACAGGTAAGCTGCTAGCTCAAGTCCCAAGAACCGCAGGTGAGATAACAGGAGCCAGCTGCAGGATCCAGAGCAGGCAAAAGCCAGAACTTCTGCTTATATTCGGATGGAGTCCACATGCCCAAGGAAACTCCCCTTCAATTGATTGGCTACTCACAGCAGATCTCATCATGGGGGTGATCACATATCAAATCTCAACAGGGAAGTGATCACAGCATTATACGACTGCCAAAACACTGAGAATCATGGCCCAGCCAAGTTGACATACAATCTTAACCAACATAGTGAGCAAAGAAATCAATAATATTAAGTTCCAATAATTGTTGACAATGACGTTATTAATGTAATGGGTTCCTAGGAGATTCCTAAAATAGAAGTTGATGGAAAAAATTAATAAGTAAATAAAACTCCTGCCTATTACAACAAAAATGAGAGGATGGACAGACATAAATGCATGCTAAATATTTCATCTTGCTAGGAAGTAGGGAAGTCGATACTAATGAATTCTTATTACTGATATAAAATATAGATTTGTTTCTTAAAAGACAGTATGTAATCATTAACAGAACAGATTAATTTCAAGATTTTATCCCTGTCTGTTAGGGCATTATGACATATTGGCAATGAGAGAAAGAACTTGGCATTAGAAAAATGGACTTTTGGCTAACCAGTTCATGGATGTGACAGCTGGTAGCTCCGCCAGAAAGAAGTTAGAAAAAAATCACTTCAGTGAGCTGGATAAGAGACACCATAAAGAAAATGTTAAGTGGTCAGGTTAATTAGAATAAAAAGACAAATTCAGCTTGTATGCAAGCAACTTTTGCTTCATGAACGTAAATGCTAAGTTGTTAGGTGCATAAAGTTTTGTGAATACTACATCTTTTAAGCAGATCGAGTGTACCTTTTATCACTGTGCATTCTCTCACCCAAACCACGCACATATTTTAATAGGAATTTCAGAAAGACCAAATAGAAAGGCTAGAAAAGAAGCAATAATCAAGAATGAATAGAAGCAATAACAATAATCATTGTGCATCCTCTCACCCAAACCACACACTGCTATATACTTATTGTACAAAGCACACATAAGAAGGATAAAAGTGGGATTTAGGAATTATGTTGGAGACTTGGTAGCACCAGGATAGATTCCAAGTGTCTTGACTATTTGATATAAGTTTGAGGCCCTGGAATCGTTGAACAGGCGCATTCTGATGTCACCATGGAAACTTAACCTCTATCATAAAGTCATGTGATGGAAATGATAACAGCTACTGAACTCACTCCAGAAAAATAAGCGACAGAAGAGGCAATTTTTTCAGAGGAGAGATGATGCACCATTCACCATTTTCCAATGAGAGGCAAAACCAATTGTTGAAAAGGCCTAACTCCATAGTGGGAGTATGAGATTTGGGATATATAGTCAAATCTGCATACTTTCAACAAAAATTGGACAACCTGGTGTAAATGGAATTTCAGATACCCAGGTTTGCTCTAATCTCAAGAGAATAGGCATAGAAGACTCCAAACGCTCTTGGCTTAAATATGTGTATGCATATGTTTAGACATATGTATACGCTATGACCGAAGAAGAATTGATGCCTTTGAACTGTGGTGTTGTTGAAGAATATTGAATGTACCATGGACTGCCAAAAGAACGAACAAGGAATTTCAGATACCCAGGTTTGCTCTAATCTCAAGAGAATAGGCATAGAAGACTCCAAACGCTCTTGGCTTAAATATGTGTATGCATATGTTTAGACATATGTATACGCTATGACCGAAGAAGAATTGATGCCTTTGAACTGTGGTGTTGTTGAAGAATATTGAATGTACCATGGACTGCCAAAAGAACGAACAAATCTGTCTTGGAAGAAGTACAGCCAGAATGCTTCTTAGAAGCAGCAAAGATGGCGAGGCTACGTCTCACATACTTTGGACATGTTATCAGGAGGGATAAGTCCCTAAAGAAGGGCATCATGCTTGGTAAAGTAGAGGGTCAGTGAAGAAGAGGAAGACCCTCAACGAGATGGATTGACACAGTGGCCGTAACAATGGGCACAAGCATAACAACAGTTTGAGGATGGCGCAGGACCAGGCAGTGTTTCATTCTGTTGTACATCAGGTCACTATGAGTTGGAACTGACTTGACGGCACCTAACAACATACACTATGAAACAAATACCACAATGAAGATACTGAAGATATCCATCACCACACCCCCACCAAAGTTTCCTTGTATCCTTTGTGACATATTGGTAGTGAGAGAAAGTACTTGGCAATAAAAAAAACCCTGTCCCCCCTCTCTAACCAGGCAATCACTGATCTGCTTTCTGTCCCTATAGATAAGTTTGCATTTTCTAAATTTTTTTTATAAACAAAACATACAGTATATTTTGCATTTGCCTTTTTCACTCAGCCTAATTATATGAGATTCATCCATGTTGCTATGTGTATCAATAGTTTGTTCCTTTTTATTGTTGAGTTATTAGATATGGATATAACACAATTTGTTCATTCACCTATTAATGAATGCTTGGGTTGTTTCCAGTTTTGGCTGCTACAAAGTTGTGATGCATATTCATGTACAAGTCTTTGTAAGAACATATGCTTTCATTTTTCTTTAGTAAATACCTATGAGTGGAATAGCTAAATCACTTGTAGTGTAATTGTAGTTAAACTTTTTAAGAATTTGCCAAACTGTTTTCTAAAGTGATTGTACCATTATACATTTCCACCAGCTATGTATGAGAGTTCCTGTTTCCACACATCCGCCCTAATATTCAGTATGGTCAAAAAACCCATTGCCCTCGAGTCAATTACAACTCATAGTGACTCTATAGGACAGAGTAGAACTGCCCCATAGGGTTTCCAAGGCTGTAGTCCTTACAGAAGTAAATTTCCACATCTTATTCCCACAGAGCCGCTGCTGGTTTCCAACCACCGACCTTTCAGTTCTCAGCTGAGCACTTAACCACTGAACTACCAGAGCTCCTTTAGGTATGGTCAATCTTTTTGATTTTAGCAATAGATGTGTAGTGGTATCTCATTATGGTTTCAATTTGTATTTCCCTAATGACTAATGACATTGAGTATCTTTTCATTTGTTTTTTTTCCAACCTTGTATCTTCTTTGGTGAAGTATCTGTTCAAATCTTTGTCCATTTATTTTATTGAGTTGTTTGTTTTCTTATTGTTTGAATTTTGAGAGTTCTTTATATATTGTAGATACAAGTCCTTTATCAGATACATGCTTTATAAAATTTTTCTGTCTGTGGCTTGTCTCTTCATTCTTTTAACAGTGTCTTTCATGTAACAGTTTTTAATTTTGGTGAGCTCCAATTTATCAATTTATTCTTTGATAATCTGTGTTTTCATGTTGTATCTAAGAAATCTTTGCCTACCCCAAGGTCACAAATATTTTCTTCTAAAAGTTTTATAATTTTAGGTTTTATATTTAGATTCATGATCTACATTGAGTGAATTTTTGTATATGGTACCACGAAAGCATCAAAGTTTCTTTTTTCTTCTGTTTTTGCACATGAATATCCAATTGTTCTAGCACTGTTCGTTGAAAAGGGTTTCTTTTTTACATTTCATTGCCTTGCCTTTGTACCATTCTCAAAGTTCAGGTGTCCATGTATATGTGGGTCTGTCTCTGGAATCTCTATTCTATTCGACTGATCTATTTGTCTTTCTTTAAGCCAAACATACACTGCTTAACTCTAAATTTATAATTCTTGTAATCAGGTAGTGTGTTAGCTCTCCAACTTTGATTTTCTGTTTCAAAGTTGTTTTGCTTATTCTAGGTTCTTTGCAGGAGCCCTGGTGGCATTGTGGTTAAGAGTTCAGCAGTTTGAATCCACCAGCTGTTCCTTGGAAACCCTATGGGGAAGTTCTACTCTGACCTATAGGGTTGCTAAGAATCAGAATAGACTTGACGGCAAAGGGTTGCATTTCCACGTGAATTTTAGAATCAGTATCTACAAAAAAAAGTCTGCTGGAATTTTGAATGGGATTTTGTTGGCTCTATTGCTTAATTTGGGGGGAAATTGACATCTTGACAGTATTTAATTTTCAAACCCATGAACAAGGTATATCTCTCCGTTTATTTAGGTCTTATTACTTTCTCTCAGCTAAATTTTCTAGTTTTAGTGTACGTATCTTCTACCAGATTGACCCCAAAATATTTCATATTTTTATCTGCTTCAGTTTGAATAGTTTTTATTGTCTTAAAGTTTACTGACTTTTTCTTCGGCAGTGCCTATTCTGCTGTTAAGCCCATCCGATTAATTTTTGTTTAAGATATTATATTTTTAGGGACTCAGGCAGACATGGCTGTGGCAGCATGCTTGTCTGTTTTCCCACTTTTGTCTGTTCTATAGTGGTCTTTGGACTCGGGCAGACGTGGCTCTAGCAGCATACTTGTCCATTTTCCCACTTTTGTCTGTTCTGTGATATTTCCTTGGACTCGGGAGGACGTGACTCTGGCAGCATGCTTGTCCATTTTCCTATTCTTGCCTATTCTGTAATATCCTTTGGACTTGGACAGACATGGCTCTAGCAGCATGCTTGTCCGACTTCCCACTTTTGTCTGTTCTGTAATGGTCTTTGGACCGGGGCAGACATGGCTGTAGCAGCATGCTTGTCCATTTTCCCACTTTTGTCTGTTCTGTGACATTTCCTTGGACTCGGGCAGACATGGCTCTGGCAGGATGGTTGTCCATGTCCTACTTTTATGCCTTCGAATACATGCCGAATAAAACTTTCTTTTTGCTTTACTAAACTTTGTGATGTTTTTCCTCTACAGCAGTTAATGGCATAGTCATCAAGGATTTCTGAAGCTACAAATCCAGTCAACCTCAAGGAGACCTGGACTGTGGAGCAGAAGCTAGCAAAGAGAGGTCCTATCTTCTGGACCCACGTGCTCCCACTCCATGTCCCTTCAACATTGACGGCATGAGTGCTCTCGGAAAATGAGTCTTTGCTTATTCTTTTTTGTTTGCTTTCTCATATTTTCTTAAGTTTTGTTTGGTATATTTGTTTTGAAAAACCAGTTGGTTGATTAAGGAGACTTTCTTAGATTTTTGCTTGACCATTTGGTTAACAGTGACATTTAGTAACTCTGTAGGTATACTGCAGTTTAGGTCCAGATTCGGGCATTTGAAATATTAAAGAGGTAATTCTATTTTCAAAGAGCATTGAGTCGCTATAAGCCTCAAAATTCGGGCCTTTTTGTGGCTCAGAGAGAACCTGGAAAATAGTGCTCTGTTTTGCCAAATTCTCAGGGGGAGGTGGCAGATCCTGACCTGTGTTATGATATTTAAGGGAGAAGTGGTGGTTCTGTACCTGTTTTATGATACAGTTTATCAATGAAGAATCACAATGTTAAAATTAAAATCATCCATAGCTACTTTAAAGTACTATACAATCAGAGAAACTAGTCTATTTAAGGTCTAAAATAAGAGACTAGGTCTCTAGCCAGCAGAATGAATTAAGTTCAAAGACACGGAAACCAAAATCTTGAACCTTAGAGCTTAACATCTTTGATAAATGAGCCTAGATTTCCCCCCTACTACTGAGACACTGGTTTGGGGTTCATATTTAAAAACACTATAAACTGAGTATGCTAGAAGTAATTTGGAATTTCAGTGACCACTTTGGGAAAATGAGCTTTCATTTATGTTGTCCTTTCTTTCCTTTAGAGAACTTTGCTTGATGCTCAGGTTTTGTCAAAAGGTCTAATATTCCTCCATCTGAGGCTCTGGCAAGTTAATAAGTTTTATCTAGGACCTGTTTTTTCCATTGAATTGAGTCGTTCTTACCAAAAATTGCTATATACACTTTAAGAAACTAGAATCCCTATATCCTTGTTTTGTGTGGTATTATTCTGTGAGTTTTTGTGGTCTTTCTGTCTCCTTTTGTTCTAAGAGCTTGCTTCTGGTCTAGAGCATTGTGTCTTTTATCGGGTTGGAAGTTATAGTTGAGAATTGCTGTTTTTCGTAAGGCTAGTCATAGAACCTCAGTTCTTTCTTCATCCAGAAAAAACTGCATCTCGTGTCTATCTTATGATTTAACTTTTCAATAGCTACTTGAAGAAATTTTGATATAAATTCTTCTATTTGAGAAGTACACTGAGATCTTTATGTTTTATACTATGTCAATCTTAAAAGTGAAACCTTTCTAAGTAACCTAAGCTAGATATTATATGAAATGTGTTTTATTAAAGGAAAAAGAATAGTTTTGTCATAAAGTAAAAGTAGCAGTTCCAGAACAGTAAAAGAGAAAGAAATTAGTTATCTTTTGCCCTTCAAACTGCCTAGGTCGACTTAAACATATGTAAATGAATTGGGATGACACCCACAGCCCCAGTTTCCCTAGCCAAGAATTGATGGATTCATTTACAAAATTGCTAAAGAGCTTTGGTATTTACTGGGTGGATAGCCTTTCAAAATGCCTCCATCAATTTAAACATATGTAAATGAATCAGAATGACCTAATCTTGTCTTCTACCTTGAGTCAAAAATAGGGAGGGCAGGGCAGGATCAGGCCTCCCCAGTTCCCAGTCTCCAAGGTCATTATAGCTCCAAGGAAGCTTTTGAATGACCCTTTCCAACTAGTGGAGACCCTTTAAAGACAAAAGATAAGAAAAATTGTGCTTTGCTATAGTTAGCAGAAATTGGGTGGATCCCAGTCATAAAAGAACTGTAAACAAATTCTCTCTATTACAGGGTAACTCTAAGAAGCCAAAAAAATAAATAAATAAATAAATAAATAATAGAAATCACAATGAGACACACCTGAAATGGCCTGGAAAAATGTTTCCAGCAGTAGCCAGAGACTTAAGGTTATATCCATGTGAATGAATTGGTCAATTGAGCAGACACTTTGTGATTTCCAAAACCAGTTGATAAAATCTTTAAGGGCTAAAATTAGATTGGGAAAAATATGAGAAATAGTTGAATGGAAACTTAGAATTTTTAAACAAACTTTATTTCAGTTACAGTTATGTTTTATTTTATACAGGCTTAAAATAATTCCCAAGACATTTTATGTAACTTAATGATATTAAATTAATAGATATTTGTCATAATTTATATATTTTTGCTTTTTATGCCACAAGAGGAAGAATATATATACATATATATTTAAGTCTGCTAATGAGTGTGTTCATTTTTGCCATTTTAAAGGTACGCACTGTAAGAGGTATACAACAAAGACAACATTTAAGAAGTTTATTAAAAAGAAATTTATTTGATATAGTCAAAAGTTTTATCTGTCTGACTAAAGTTTAAAGGTTTAAGTTAGGAAATTTTTAGGGGCTTTAATGTTAAGTAGCATATAAAACAAAGAATTAGGTTTCTCGCTGTTAAAATAACAAAATTTTCTTTGATTTCTGAGTTGAAGATGTTACCTGAATACAGTCTGTGCCCTGGAGGAGTTGAGCCAATGAAACATACTCCAAGTCAGAAAGAGTGAGAAAGTTTCAATTCAGGAAGAGTACACCACCGGGCACCCAACAGTAACGCAGGCTGTCGCTCAGGGAGTCCCAAAAGGCATTTTTACATTAGAGCTTATATATGATTTTTACAAAGGTTAGAAGTGTTGTTATTCATTCCAAGATAAATTACAAGAGACTCTTTATCATACTAAAGCAATAGGGAACCAGACATTTCCTTATCAGGCTAAAGATATACATCTCTGACATCTGGTCTCTAATCTTCCTGTGGGGGATCCTAAATCATAAAACAAAGCCATTAACAAGGGTATGCAAAAAGGGAGAAGGCAAAGAAGAAGAAGAAAAAAAGAAACTTGATAGGTTCATCATAGCTTATGTCAAGCTTTCAGTTGTCCATTTTGAAAAGGAGAAAACATGCTGGGGAGTATTAGGGTCACAAAGGTTTAAATTATTCTTTGTGTAATCTGCCTAGAAGACAAAGGTTCGGCCTTTCATTAGAGTAAGATTCCTGAGCCAAAAACCAAGCTGAATGGCTTTTAGAAAAGAAAGCTAAAGTTTTTTACTTTAAGATCTTTGATTAAATAACTTAAGTATTGTTTCACAGTGATCTATAATAGATTGACAACTCTGAAACTTCGTGGAAAGCCACAAAAATTTTTGTACGTTAGTATTTCCTCTTATGTTTTTGTCTGGTATTAGACAGCAAATACATAATATTATGTCATAATTTTATTATTTCTTTATTGTTAACTTGGTCGCAACTTTATCTTTTTGAATTTAGCACCATCAAAGCCAATGGTTTGATTGGGGAATTCAAATCATTTACCTATGAAGTTTTTTTTATTACTATTCAGGTATTTAGAGACTTGTATATTCTTGGTATACCCTATTATGTATTATATCTGAAGCTCCTTGAATATGGTTAATTGTTATATTTAGAAATATTTTTTATCTTAAGTTTTGTTTTTAACTGATTTTATTTGGCCTTTACATCAGGTTTATAATTAATTTCTATCAGATCTTTCACTATAACAGTACTGTTTTTATAAGTTAATCATGGCCATATTAAGTTTTGTCATCTGCAGATAAGTTTTTACTTTGCTGATTTGCTGAAAACATTTGACCACAATATCTTAACAAAAAGATAGACTATACTGGACTTGCAAAAACAACTGTGACTAGGCTCAATCAAGATTTCCAGAACTCTTATGCAGAAGCTGATGGGTTCACAGACTGTGGCTGATCCAAAATCACGTGGAACAGAAATTAACTACATAAGACTGAGTAAACAAAAGGAAACTATGGGTTTATGTGGGAATATTGCTGATGTTTTAAGATCCTATTTTCTGGATGCAAGAAACCATTTTCCTTTCTCCTGAATTATCTAACAGACATGGGTTTAGATATTGTAACTCTTGAATTAGATGTTCCAGTTGGTAAACTTAGCAAAGTTGTAAATATCATAACCAGAGAAGTATCTGAAATTTGAGCTATGATTTTACAAAATAGAATAGTATTAGTTTTCCTGTTCTCTCAAGAAACAGTTTGTGCCTTAATAGATAAATGTTGTTGTAATATGCAATCTGAGGTTTTGCAGAATATAGTTGCTGTTGAGGCACATGAAAAACAGTCACTAATACTGTTTATGTATAGACAAACAGCTCATGAGATTTGTTTCCTTGGTTCAAAGACCTTAGGGTCATGGTTTCATTGGTTATTTCAGACAATTGACCTAATATTATTGTTAGTGTTTCTGTTTTACTTCCTAGTTTGCTGTATGGTGCTTGGGATCTTAAAAACCAGATGATGCCCAATTACCATTTATTGAGCATTTTTGATAAAAGATTCTGTAGCAAGATCATGATCCAAAGGAAAGAGTTATATGTAATTTTCCTGGAATCCAGATTTCTGGTTTTCATGGAGGTTGGGACAATCCGCACAGGCCATCTTCTTTGAACCTTGAGCTTTGTGAGAAAAAAAAAAAAAAACTGGCTCCTGAAGCCACTTTGAATCAAACAATGGTCCAGGTAAACTAGAAAGTCCATTTTGCTCTGGGCATTGTGCTATTTTTGAAGAATTCAGTCTGTTTTAGGAAACTGACTCCAGAGATTGGATTGAGAGCTATGTTTAGGGTAAATCAGTAATTAGTTTAATCAGTCTTTAAGACAGTGTCTGTATAAAATACCTGTCTAATGTTTGTAATCAAACTGTCACCCCCTTAGGATGCAGAAAATTATGTATCTTAAAGAAACCAGGTTCTCAGAGGAGATCGACCTCATGGCTCAGACTCCATTTTTGTCTTAGTTTCCATTTCTGCTTCTGAGAAAGTGACTCATGACTAGTAATAGGTAAACCAAGGAGGGACAGCTTGCCCTCAGGGAGAACACTTAGTATGTTTTAAAGAGACTAACTAAAGACCTCCTACGGGAAAGGTCGATCCTATATTATCTTGCTAAATCATTAGTTCTCTAATGAAAACTTTTTTGTCACATGTAAATTTTTCTATACCTTCTGTTTTCTCTAGACACTTTTTTTTTATTTTTATTTTTTTTAATTGTACTTCAGGTGAAGGTTTACAGAACAAATAGTTTCTCATTAAACAGTCAGTACACATATTGTTTTATGACATTGGTTAACAACCCCAGGACATGTCAACCCTCTCCCTTCTCAACCTTTTTTTTTTTTTTTTGGTGAAAATATACATAGCCAAAGATACACCATCCATTTCAAAAATTTCTACATGTACAGTTCAGTGACATCGACTATGCTCTTCCAGTTGTACTGCTATTCTCACTTTAGATGAAGGTTTAGAGAACAAAATAGTTTCTCATTAAATAGTTAGTACACATGTTGCCCTAGGACAATGGTTAACAACCCCAAGAATTGTCAACACTGTCCTTACTCAACCTTGGGTTCCCTATCACCAGCTTTCCTGTTCCCTTCTGCCTTCTAGTTCTTGTTCCTGGACTGCTGTGCCTCATTAGTCCCGTTTTGTTATATGGGGCTGTCCAATCCCCGGCTGAATGGTGAACCGCAGAAGTGACTTCACCACTGAGCTAGAAGGGTTCTGAGGGCCATACTCTCGGGGTTTCTCCAATCTCTTTCAGGCTAGTAAATCTGGTCTTTTTGTGTGTGTGTTAGAATTTTGTTCTACATCCTTCTCCACCTCTGTCCAGAACCCTCTGTTGTGATCCCGGTCAGAGCAGTCAGTGGTGGTAGCCGGGCCCTAGACAAACTTTGAGTGCTGTTTTTGGATATATATTTCTGTGTGGTAGATCCAACTATACTAGTTTAGATGATGCCTTCCCAACTGATAGTGAATTTATGTGGGCAATCTCTTGTTTAGATTCCTGATGAATGTCTGGGCAATGCACTTTGGAAACTTTATGATTATCTTTAGATATCCATAGTAATGATGCTAGTAAATATTGCAAAGGTAATGTTAAATTGTTACACATTGTTAAATGAAAGTCAGAAGAAAACCCATTGATCCAACACTCAGGATATGGATGCTCGTTTTACCACCAAGGGCACAGATGCCCTCCAGACTCAATGGGTCCTTGTCTTTCTCTTGTAAGAATACACATAGGAGACAATTTTTGGCTCTAACCAATTTATTTTACTTGTGACAAGTAAAAGGAGTCAGTGGGGACTCATGCCTCTCCAAAAGACCGACTTGAAGGGAGAAGCAAGACTAGGCTTATATGGGTTCAGTGGAGATAATAAAGCAATGAATATTCAGTGGGTTTCTTTGAAGGGGCAGGTACTTCTCAGAATGGCAGTGCATATTAATTAGGTTGCACGTGCATCTGGAATCCAAGATGGAACCCGCTGGTATTCAAGATGGAGTCCCCTCGGCAGCCCTTGGCATCACTTATAATGGGATATGGCGCAGGTGCACTGATATTCTGCACTACTTTGCTCCCTTCAGTGGGCCAGAACAGTGGTCATGCTTTGTTCTTCTGCACAGGCAGAGCCTGTAAGAAGGGAGAAGGGACTAGAAAAACACTAAGGAGGAAATAGTAATTCACAGGTTAACTAACTGTATTTTATGTTAACAGGATGTGTTTCCTGTTTACCCAACTTCTAGGTGGTACTATTTTAACAGCTCTTTTATTCTGCCAGCACAGTCAACCCTGTCTCTCTCAGTAGTTTTAATTCCTACTTATGGTATAGTTGAGTTGGAGAAATCTTTAAGAAAATTTGTCAAATCACTATGGGACAAATAACAGATGAAGTTGCTAGTAAGATGGAAGCACAACAGTGAGCTCTGATCTCATAAGCCAAGGTGACATGAGATAACAAAATACCCTTAGAATTTTTTATTAGTGTAGTCTGTGCTGTAGGAAATACCTCTTGTTACATTTGGATAAATAACACAGGAGAAGTAGAACAAGATATACATAGAATTGGACAGCAAGCTACTTGGTTACACACTGTAACACTCTTACAAACACCAGATTTGTTTGGTTGGTTACCATCAGGAATACGTACATGGGCTAAACAACTATTGCAAGGAATAGTAATATTTTTAGTCTATATCCTGATAGTATTAGGTCTAATAAAATTTATCCTCTATTGTCTTACATACCTAAAAGGCAAAAGAAGGTCTTGGGCTACGATGTTGATGTACATTGCGTCTGCTCACTCCAGCAATGCAATTGATGAGAACATCACTTTTACTTAATAACCTGGTGAAGAACCAGATGGTATCCGGTGGAAAACCAGCACTGTGAGTTTAAAGAGCCTGCAATGGCTGCCATCTAGGAGCTCATCTAAGTCCAGGTATTGATCATCAATATGTTATTTCCAATCTCTGATCAAAAGTAGGGAATGATTTAGGAAATAAAATTGGAGTTATTATCCCCTGTCCTTTAGCATAGAGTGTGTGACCCAGCTGGAGCTGGGCTCACAAGGACTCACAAGGATTCACAAGGACACATCAGCTGGGCCCTGAGTTATAAACACAATAGCTAAGATAATCTTGGAAAATATCTTTTAGGGAAACTTTCACATAAAGCCAATCACACAGAACACAAAACACTTTCCACTCTTCTTTTTTCTATTAGCATTTAATGAATAGAAAATTGTTGGACCAATGAAGACCCTCCTGACTGTCGTTACTGAAACCTGTACCAATGATTGTTAAGAAAGACAATTCAAAAATCACAATTTCTAGCCAATCTGTGAAAAAGTAAAGTTTTCAATGGTTTTGCCCATTTGTAATGTTAACATATACTGATGGCTCTGTAACGTTCTTTGGACTCAGGCAGACATGGCTCTGGCAGCATGCTTGTTCATTTTCCTATTCTTGCCTATTCTGTAATATCCTTTTGACTTGGGCAGACATGGCTCTAGCAGCATGCTTGTCCATTTTCCCACTTTTGTCTGTTCTATAATATTTCCTTGGACTCTGGCAAACATGGCTGTGGCAGCATGATTGCCCATTTCCTACTTTTGCCCCTTTGAATATATGCCGAATAAAACTCTCTTTTTGCTTTAAAAAAAAAAAAGATACTATATTTTTACATTTTAGAATTTTCATATGGTCCTTGTTTAGAGTTTTCATTTCTCTCCAGAAATACTCCATCTTTTCTACTTTCCAACATCTTTTCCTGTAAAATCTTTAAAATATTCATAACTGTTGTTTTAAAGTCCTTGTCTGCTAATTCCAATAAGTGTGTCTCCTATTGATTGAGTTTTCTCCTAATTACAAATCATGTTCTCTTGCTTCTTAACAAGTCGCACAATTTTTGTTGTATTGTAATGATTATAAAAAGAATAGTGTATATTAAAGTATAATATTTTTTGTTTTCTCTTTTTTTTTTTTAATTTCCCAGGGAATTGAAGCCTTCCCCTTTTTCTGGCAGTTTGAGTGAGAAGCTGATCATTAATATTCCCCTTAGAATTCGATTGAGTTGACATAGGACCACTGCTTTAACTAGATTGAGTTTACCTGTAATTAGCCTAACCCCAACCTTCTGCACTACCACTGCCTTTTAGGTCTTATCAATATTTGAGGTGGGCAGGGTTGGGCTGCAGTTTCAGTATTTTTCCTTTACTTTTAGGTTAAAACCGTGAAATCCAACCATTATGAAATATGTGGGAATCATGAAAATTTTCTCTGCTTTCCATTCCCTTCTTAGTGCCACTTTCTCAGGAAAATCCAGGGGTGAAGGAAAGATAAAAATTATTGTCCAAGGCAATTTTTTGCATTGAGAATTCTTCCAGATTCCAGTCTGCCCTGCCAGCCCACACTGTCACCTAAGTTTCTTCTGATTTTTCCTTGTTTTACAAAGTCTCTACAGCAGTCCCTCTCCTTTATTTGCCTGTTCCAAGACCAGCCTCCTGCCCTGGTCTGGAAGCTACTTGGCTTTCTGTTCATCTACAAAGGACTTATCTTGTTTTCTCTCTGGAATTCAGTTTACCAAAGGTTTATTGCATGCACCATTATTTGATAGACCCATAGAAAAGTATGGCTTTTATTTTGTCCATGGTTTTCTTGTTGTGACCATGGAACTGAAGGTCTTCCATGTCCTTCTACATCTTTATCAAGAGAAGAATTCTCAAAAGCCAGTGTCTTACTGATAAATATCCACTAGTTTTCTAGTGGTAGTTATGTTAATGAGGCAGGACTCAATCTACAAGATTGGATTGTGTCTTAAGCCAATGTCTTACGATATAAAAGAGAGAAGTGAGCAGAGAGACAGGAGGACTTCATACCACCAAGAAAGCAGTGCCAAGTGCAGAACTTGCCCTTTGGACCTAGGATTCCTGCATGGAGAAGCTCCTAGACCAGGGGAAGATTGATGACAAGGACCTTCCCCCAGAAATGACAGAGAGAGAAAGCTTTCCGCTAGAGCTGGCACCCTGAATTTGGACTTCTAGCCTCCTAAACTGTGACAGAATACATTTCTCTTTGTTAGAGCCATCCACTTGATGTATTTCTGTTATAGCAGTACTAGTTAACTAAGACAGCTGCTAACCAAAAGGTTGAGTTCGAGTCCACCTAGAGGCACCTTGGAACCCTGGTGGCACAGTGGTTAAGAGCTATGGCTGAAAACCCAAATGTTAGCAGTTCGAATCCACCAGCTGCTTCTTGGAAACCCTATGGGGCAGTTCTACTCGGTCTTATAGTGTCACTGTGAGTCAGACTTGACTGGACGGCAATGAGTTTTGGTTTTTTGGTTTAGAGGCACCTCGGAAGAAAATCTGGAGATGTACTTCAAAAAAATAAGCCATTGAAAATCATATGGAGTACTGTTCTACTCTGACATGCATGGGGTCGCCATGAGTCAAGAATCAACTCAGTGGTAGGTAACTGATTTATTAAACTCCTACCTTGAGTAAGCTCCTACTCTGTTAAGACATTCTTCCTCTTCCTGAGTCTCCACTGTCTTTCCCTTCATTAATAATGATAACTCATTCTTCAGTCTGTCTCAGCTTGGTTGTCGGTTCCATCAGAAAGCCTTCTCCAAATCCCCCTAGTCTGAGTTAGATGCCCCTGCTACTCTTATGTGGCTGTTGTTATGTGCTGTTGAGGCAATCCTGACTCATAACAACCCTATATGTCAGAGTAGAACTGCCCCATAGGGTTTCCTAGGCTGTAATCTTTACGGGAGCGGACCATCAGGTCTTTTCGGCTGCGGAGCGGCTGGTAGGTTTGAACCACTGACCTTTCAGTTAGCAGCAGAACTCTTAACCATGGTGCCACCCGGGCTCCTTGCTGATGTCATCCCAAACCAAAAATCCATTGCCTTTGAGTCAATTTCTAACTTATAGCAACCCTATAGAAGAGAGTAGAACAGCTGCTAGGGTTTCCAAGGCTATAATCTTTATGGAAGCAGATTGCCATATCTTTCTCCTGCAGAGCAGCTGGTGGGTTGGCTGGTGGGTTCGAACCACTAACCTTTTGGTTAGCAGCTGAGCGCCTAACCACTGCTCCACGAGGGCTCCTTGCTGCTCTCATAGTTCCCTGTATTTCCTCTACTGCAACATTTATCACATTATATTGGAATTGCTTATGTAATCATTGGTCTCCCCAACAAGAGTATAAGCTCCATGAATGGAGGGAGATCAACTACTTTGTTAATCTTTATATTGCCAGTGCCTAGAAGATGCCTGGCACATAGTAGGCACTCAATAAATATTTGTTGAATAAATAAATAAATAACACTAGGCTCTTTATGTTACGTAGTAGGAAAAAACGAGTATCGTAATACGAAGAACAATGCACACTAAATCAGTTAACTCACACTTCCTCCTTAAACTTGGCTATAAAAAGAAAACTCAAGTGAAACAAACTCTCTTCTTGAAGAGTGCCTTTCTTGTCCACAGAAGATTAGACGCTGGAAGAAAATGGCTCAGCACCACCTATGGATCTTGCTCCTTTGCCTGCAAACCTGTGAGTTCTGACCCTTGCTGACCCTCTCCTAATTGTCCACAAAGTTTTAGAAATTGTCCGTAAGGAAGACACTGAAGTGCCCTTTTGATCTGTGTTTTTAACAGAAACACCTGGGTCTCAGGATATGCCGTACTCAAAAGGCTGGGGAGAGACTAAGATTCAACCTAAATGTTTTTCAGCTTTAGAGTTGACATTTCTGAATTTTTTCTGTGCCTAGTCTCCAAAGGTCTGAGATAAAACCCTTTGCTTAGGACAGTCAGCACTTAGTAGACCCACCCACAGAGCCCCACAAAAACATAGATAATCCAAAACCTTGAATAATTTAAAAACACTTGCTTTCACCCATTAGAATGTGTTATTTGGTATTTGACAAAGAGATGCTCTTCCTAATTATATTTCATTGTTCTGTCATGTTAGAGTGATGCATGACTCATGATTATCACCATAAAACCCTCATTTCTATAAAAAACCAACCAAACTCATTGCTGGCGAGTTGATTCTGACTCACAGTCACCCTATAGACAGAGTAGGACTGCTCCAAGGAGTGACTGGTGAATTGGAACTGCCGACCTTTTGGTTAGCAGCTGAGCTCTTAACCACTGCACTAGCAGGGCTCCTCATTTCTATAAGCTCCCTTTATTTTCAAAGCATGTTCAGAGCTAGTGCTTTTACCTTCCAAAAACCCTCAGAAATAAATGGGGAAGAGATTATCACCCTACTTTACAAATAAATTAGGTTTCGAAAAATAGGTGAACTTGAACTAAAAATCTTTTCTCACTTATGGGTTGATGGTAAACTATAAAGGACAAAATAAAAATTGGTTGTTGTTAGTACACAGAAAACTATGTAACATTAGCATAGGTCTGAGGGTGCTTTGTTATTTCACATATTTATCTCATTAACTCCAAACAATTGCCCTGTTATATAAAAACTGACAATGTTTGGCATTTCTGAATTTTTATTTCTAGTATCTCTTACCAGCTCTGGAAATGCTATAGTAAATTCCTGGCATGAGTTAGAAGCCAGGGAAGTTAAGGAGTAAAGCTTTCCTTAAGGCAGGATAATGCAACTTGGTCTCTCTGGTTTCCTTGACCATTTAAAGCTGTAGTTCCCTTAACTTGAGCTTCAGGGAGATGGCAGCCTCTAGGCTGGTCAAGTTTTTGGAGCCTGTTGTGGTTGCCCTGGTCTGGCAGACAGAAAATGCAAGTAAATGAGGAAAAGAGTTGGATAGAACCTAAGGGGAAACCTTAGGTTCTATCCGATCATGCAGAGAAAGGCTGGACAGTGTGTCATTTGATACTACTTGATTTGCAAAGCATTCCACAATTTTCATGTCTACATTCTTCTTCTTCTTCTTTTTTAGGTGTTCAATAACTTTGTGTGTGTGTGTGGTGAAAATATACACAACAAAACATTTGCCAATTCAACAACTTCTGCATGAATAACTCAGTGAGATTGATTACATTCTTCATGTTATGCAACCATTATGGCTATCCTTTTCCAAATTATTCCACCACCATTAACGTAAACTCAGTGCCCCCTAAGCAAAAACTTCCCCTTTTCCCCCCTCCTTCACACTCCTGGTAACCATTAATAACGCGCTATGGTCTCTATATTGCCTATTCGATATAAGTGAGATCATACAATATTTGTCCTTTTGTGACTGACTTCACTCAGCATAAAGTTTTCAAAGTTCATCCATGTTATGGCATGCATTAGAACTCTTTATTGCTGCATAATATTCGATTGTATGTATATACCACATTTTCTTTATCCATCTGTTGATAAACATTTAGGTTGTTTCCACATTTTGGCTATTGCAAAAAGTGTTGCAATGGACATTGCTGTACAGTTTTCTGTTTGCCATCCTTCGTTCACTTCTTCTGTGTATATACCTAGGATTAGGTTTGCTGGGTCATATGGTAGTTCTATGTTTAACTTTTTGAGGAACCACCAAACTGTTTTTCACAGCAGCTATACCATTTTACATTCCCACCAGCAATGATCAAACTGTTTTTCATAGTGACTATACCATTTTACATTCCCACCAGCAATGAATGAGGGCTCCAGTTTCTCCATAACCTCACAACACCTGTTATTTTCTGTTTGTTTCACTGTTGCTATTCTAGTGGGGGAGAGCCTCGTGGCGTAGTGGTTAAGAGCTACTGCTGCTAACCAAAAGACGGGCAGTTTGAATCCACCAGGTGCTCCTTGGAAACCCTATGGGGCAGTTCTGCTGTGCCCTATGGGGTCAGTATGAGTCAGAATTGACTAGACAGCAACGGGTTTGGTTTTTTTGTTTATTCTAACAGGGCTGAGGTGGTTATCTCATTGTGGTTTTGATTTGCAACTCCCTAATGACATTGAGCATCTTTTCATGTGCTTGTTTGGCCATTTAAATATCTTCTTTGACATCTCTGATCTGCTGAAACTGCAGTCAAAGTGGTCAGCTAGGAAAGTTGTAAATCTCTTCAAACTTCATCTTCAAAATGGAGAAATACTGGTATCTATCCAATAGGAATCACCTATAATGATATTTATTTGGATATCAGAATCAAAATGATAATACATGTACAGCATTTAGCACAGTACCTGGAACATTAAGTGTTCACAAATATTAGCTAATGTTCCTGTTGTTTTTCACACTTACTGTCATGCCATATTTGAAAGGGCCAGGAGTTTATTACACAGAATTGCTGGGCAGGACACATTCTTGTTTTAGGATGGTTCAAGGAACAAGAGAAGGAGAAAAGATGCTGAGAGTTTTACTTTAGGTGTGGGCTGTTAGGATTCTGGAAAAGGAAATTGGGAATGAGACATTCATTTTGTCAGAGACCCATAAAATGGGGATTGTTTTTATAGAAGTAAAGCCAAAAGTGTGTTCAATACTGTTTACCTTTGCTGAATAGATATGTTCCCCTCTTAAAGATTATTCTGCAAGCATTTCCTGAGTGTAGAAATCTACCCTAAATTCCTCCTGCTGCCATTCCTGGCATACGTGGTCCCTTCTATTCAGCATTGGGCTTAGGAATCAGCACTGATTTTATGCTATTCCCTGGAATTCAGATCAGTTGAAGCAGCCAAGACACAATGGAGAGATGAAGTTAAAAATCCCTATTTTCTCTTGAGATCACTGAAATAGGAGAACTCTGAGTGTGCAAACTCATGACTGCTCTATGTTGGAAAAGTTTTCTCTAAGAATCAAGACTCACAGTCTCATGCTCTGATCTCAATTTTCTCATCATGACTTCAGGAACACTGTAACTCTGACTGTTCTTCCACGTGTCCTAGTAGCCACTTACCCTCAAGGGACAGAAGGACAGAAAAGTTGACCACTTTTGCTCCATGCCCATTTCCCTCTGCATGTTCTCTCTCATACTCTTTTAAATCCTCCTTTCCTCCACCCCTTCCTTTCTTCTGTTTCTTCAACCCCTCCACTTGTTCCCTTCTCCTAACTCCCATCAGTAATAGTAATAAGCAACCATTTATGGAAAAATCACTACATGTCTGGCATTACTCTTAGTAGTCTACATTTATTATTTTGTTTAATCCTCACAATATCCTATGAGATAGGTACTAGTGATATCCCCATTTTAGAGATGAAAACACTGAGACACAGAAAGTTAGAGGTCATTTGTCAAAAAGTGGAGAAAGTAGGATTTGAGCTCCGGTATCTATAGACTTAAACACTGATCATGCTGCCTCTACCCACTTTGATGCTAAAGCAGAGTAAAATGCTGTCCCCACTATCGATAGCTGTCACATTGTGAAATCTGTCAGTAAAGAGTAGTGAGTTATTTATTCCCAGCAAGACAAGATTTTCAGGCAGAGGCTGGGCCTGTCTCTACACCCATCCATAGAGGGGCATAGAGGCTGGTGGGAAGGTCCTTGCCAATAGTAAAAGCTTAGGCAGACCAGCAAGGCAGAATATTCAAGGAAATGACCCTGCCAGACATGGTTCAAGTAGCATTCATTTCATTATGATTTAGGTTGACTCAAATTAGCTTCTTGCAAACAAACAAGGGTCCAATACATCTTGTTGGATGTAGAGCACAGTCATAGGGCATTACAGTAGTCAATACTTACAGAGGTCCAGGAGGTAAGTGGGCCCATCTAGATATCTGTGCATGGATATCTAGGCTTCTGCCATCATCCTGGGGGTCAGAGGCAGGATTTCATACCTGCGGAAGGGACTTGGAAAGAGCCAGTCTACCACTGGTTTGAAGTCCTTGTCCTTGCAGAAAGAGGCCTTTAAGATCAAGACAAAGCTTCTGTTCTAGAAAGAGATTTGAGTCCATTACTACCACTGACACTTAGAATGGGCTCAAAAGCAGAAGCCCAGTTATAAGAATGGAGACATATTACATTTGGGGAACACTGGATATCAGGACATCATCTCAAAAACCCAGTCTCCAAATACAGGCTAGATTTTATTACATGTCAGTGATAAAACAGGATTCCAGTGGGAGGGAGTAGAGACCCACCTCCTCTGCTGAAGCAGCCGTGGAGATTAGTATGTGCCAGATGAAGCAGCCAGAGCACCTTCACAATAGGTGCCCAAAGATCAGTGCCAGGCCATTCAGGCTGCTAAGGATTTCCTGAATCAAGCCTTTCTTGTCTTGAACCTTGGAGAAGGATGGATCTCCAAGTTTGGGGGCAACTAAGCTCATCTAGGCGGTAGTGGTGGTTCAGTGGTAAAATTGTTGCCTTCCATGCAGGAGACCTGGATTCAACAGCCAATGCACTTCATGCACAGCTACTACCTGTTAGTGGAGGCTTGCATGTTCTATGATGCTAAACAGGTTTCAGTGGAACTTCTAGACTAAGACAGACTGGGAAGAAAAGCCTGGAAGTCTACTTCAAAAAAAATCAGCCAGTGAAAATCCTATGGATCACAGTAGTCTGATCTCCAATTGATCATGGGGATGGCATAGGACTAGGCAGCATTTTTCCATTGTGCCTGGAGTTGCCACAAGTTGAGGGCTGACTTGATGATAGCT